ATAATCTAATAAGAAAATGTATTATTTTTCTTTGCAACGCTGTTTGATCCTAAAAAAACAAAAAAAAAAAAAAAAGGAGACCAAATTACAAATCATATTTGTGTTTAAGGAATCTACCCACATACGGATTGGACATTACCTATTATATACATTTTAAATATTAAACGACTATGACCATACGTTATGTTAGAAATAAACAATTATTTTAAAGTACTTTTACGACTTTTTCAAAATATTTGTAGCTAAACATGTACAAAAATTAAAATGAATCTATTTTAATAATTATATATAAAAAAAATATAATGGAATCAATATCTTTTAGGATATCTTTTAACATTAGAAATATTATTTAAAAAATATTTCAATCACAAATTATAATAAGGATAGTTTCCTAATTTCTTATCTTATTATTATTGTATAGAAGATTTTAAAATCAGTATAATTTTCAAATTTCAAAAGATTATATTCTAATATAATCTAAATATTAGGATATATATCTTACTGATTTTGTGGACATATATTAGAATTTTGTAAAATTATTGATTTTTATCACGCCTAGAATTATGGTAATATATATTTTTAATAATGCAATAAGCATGGAATGTTTGATAAACAATCGTGTAAAATGAATTTAAAAAGAGGATAAAATTTAGCAAATGGAATGTTAATAAATCTTAGGATAATAGCTAATTTACTTTCCCTCAAATTTTAGATTTTACTGAGATTTTGTTATTTCTTCACGCAATTTGGCATGCACTGTTTTCCATTCTGAGCATCTGTTATATACCTCTTTCATCTTAAGGAATTGAAGTTAACAATTAGCATTGTTTGTTAAGTAGAACATCTGCCAGCATGCACTATTTTGCACTAAATAAAGCTTATTCAGAGCTAAATTCAGAACTGATTTCAAAGCTGAAATTCTGAACCGATTTCAGAGCTGAAATTCTGAACTAATTTCAGAGCTGAAATTCTGAACTGATTTCAGAGCTGAAATTCTGAACTGATTTCAGAGTTGAAATTCAGAACTGAGAATCAGAACTAAAATTATTAGAGTTGAAATTCAAAGCTGAAAATGAATAAACACACCAATTTTATTCGGTTATTCTAATTGGTTGTATTGATTTTACCAAATTATAATTCTAAAGAGAGAATGAATTAGTGGTAGCCTGGTAGGCATATATGAAGTGTGCTTGCATTTTAATCATACTTATGAGTTTGACTGTTTTTTTATTGTATTTTATATTGTGTGAGTTGACTGATAATCTATGGTTGTTATTCTATTGTAATTGTCTTTGTTTGTTTCTAATGTACTTGTTCTAATAGTTATATGCTTGCTTTTTCTATAATTTGTAGTAAGAAATGAATCGTGATTGGATGCATGTTGAAAATCGAACTCAACCCGAGTTCTTGAACGAGATTGAGGAATTTTGTAGAACTGCTATTGAACACCAGAGGACTACTAAAGGAGAAACAATCTTTTTCCCTTGTCATGATTGCAACAATGTGAAGAAGTGGAAGGAAATTAGTGTGGTTGAAAACCATTTATTTCGCCGTGGGTTCATGGCAAATTATACCATTTGGTATCAGCACGGTGAGAAAATAATTCCTACAACTAGTAGGTCATCAGATAATGACGCCGATATGGAGAATAGAGAACAACATGATGATAATGAAAGGAATACCGATGAAAATTTCGAGGAGGATCGCATTCCTGAGATGATGGATGGTTTGAGTGATCATGTGAATGAAGAATCTCGTATGTTTGAAAATGTGTCAAAGGCCGCCGAGACACCTTTATATCCTGGATGTCCAAAGTACTCTAAGCTTTCAGGGGTTTTAACATTATTTAACTTGAAAGCGAAGAACGGTTGGACCGATACAAGTTTCAACTCGTTGTTGGAAGCTTTATCAGACATGCTTCCTGAAGGGAATGACATTCCTAAGTCTACCTACTATGCAAAGAAGCTATTGTGTCCCTTAGGTCTTGAGTACACGAATATCGATGCATGTCCTAATGATTTTGTACTTTTTTGAAATGAGTATGAAAACCTTGATGCTTGCCCAAAGTGCGGTGCTGATCGCTACAAGCGCGAGGGTTCAAACCCCAATCGCAAGAAGTGGCCACCAGCTAAGGTGTTATGGTATCTGCCTATAATACCATGGTTTAAACAACTTTTTTCTATCAAGAAGGATGCAAAAAACTTGGTGTGGCATGCACAAGAGAGGAAGAAAGATGCGTACATTAGGCATGCCGCTGATTCGAAGCAATGGAATCATATTGATGATACATTTCCTGAGTTTGGTAAAGAGGCTAGGAACCTGAGACGTGCATTAAGTACCGACGGGATGAATCCTTACGGTACCCTTAGCTCTCAACACAACACATGGCCGGTGCTTTTGTCGCTTTATAACTTGCCTCCTTGGCTATGCATGAAACGTAAGTACATCATGTTGTCGCTTCTAATATCGGGTCCCAAACAACCCGGTAATGACATAGATGTCTACTTGGAGCCTCTCTTGGAGGATTTGAGACTGTTAGGGATAAAGGTGTTTCAATGTTCGATGCCCATACAAGTACAAATTTTACTTTGCGTGCCATAATTTTTTGCACTGTAAGTGATTTCCCGTCTTATGGGAACTTGTCTGGGTACAAAGTCAGAGGGAAAAAACCATGCCCCATTTGTGAGGACAAAATGGAACCAACACACCTCAAGAATTTTGGAAAGGATGTTTATATGCATACTAGACAAAAGCTGAATTCGTAAGAAGCAATGGAACCAAGCCCCATTCGTCAAGATCACCCTTATTGTAAGAAAAAAGCTGAATTCAATGGGTTCGTGGTTGCGTGAGCCACTTAGTGGTATAAAGTTGTGGGAGAGAATCAAAGATGTTGAGAAAATTTTCGGGAAAGTTGGTAAACCTACCTCTATTACAGGTCTTTGGGAAAAGGTGTCTACATTTTGGACTCTTCCTTATTGGAAACACTTGTATGTTAGACATTGTCTTGATGTTATGCATATTGAAAAAAATGTATGCGATTCAATCATCGGGACATTATTAAATATACTTAACAAGACAAAGGATACTAAAGATGTCCGGAAAGACATGAAGCTTGCAAATATTCGACCAAAGTTATGGCCCGTGGAAAATGACGAAACAAAAAAGACATTTTTGCCTCGAGCTTGCTACACATTGTCTAGAGAGGAGAAAAAAATATTTTGTGAGTGTTTGTACGGCATCAAAGTACCTATAGGGTATTCGTCGAACATTAAGCGTCTAGTTTCAATGGCCGATAAGAGATTAATTGGTATGAAATCCCATGATTGACATGTCATGATGCAAGTGATGTTGCCTATTGCACTTCGAGGTCTTTTTCCAAAACATGCTAGGCACAATATTGTTAAAATTTGCCTATTTTTTAATGCCATATGTAACAAGGTGATTGATCCAGATAAACTTGATGAAATGCAAACTGATGTTGTAGAAACATTATGCAAATTTGAGATGTATTTTCCTCCTTCATTTTTTTGACATAATGTTTCATTTGGTTATCCATCTAGTACGAGAAATCAAGGAATATGGTCCGGTTTTTTTTAAATGGATGTACCCTTATGAGAGACACATGGGAACTTTGAAAGAAAAGGCGACCAACAAAGCACATCCAGAAGGTAGTATTGTTCGAGGTACCGTTGCAGAGGAGGCTAGTAACTTTTGTTCTGTGTTCTTAACTAAGGCTAAAGAAATCGGAGTTCCAACATCTCGTCATGAAGGCCGACTTCAAGGGCAAGGGACGATCGGTCGTCAGTTTGTGAAGCCTCCATCAGATAGAATCCAGAAAGCTCATCGTTATGTTCTTCAAAACCTTTCAGAAGTCCATCCTTATATAGAAACTCATCTCAATTATTTAAAAAGAATGAATCCAAGAATAGGTACATAAGCTTTGATGCAAAAACATAATCATTCTTTTGTTGAATGGTTTTAAAACCAATTGAAGTGTGAGTTGGGGCAACCGAATAGTAATGTATCTGATACGATCAAATGGATTTCACGGGGTCCTCAATTGTTTGTGAACACTTATGAAGGCTATGACATCAATGGGTATTGTTTCTACACTAGTCGCCAAGATGATAAGAGTGTACATCAAAATAGTGGTGTTATGGTTGTCGCATCTTCTACGGAATACTCAAGATCTAAGGATGCTAGGCCTATTAATGCAACACAATCATATTATGGGGTCATTCAAGAGATATGGGAGCTGAATTATGTTGATTTTGTAGTTCCTATTTTCCGATGCAGGTGGGCTGACAACCGGCGAGGCAAAAAGATAGATGAACTATTTGGTTTTACTTTAGTGGATTCAAGTCGATTTTTTGATGGGGAGGAGCCCTTTGATTTAGCTTCACAAGAAAAATAAATTTTCTATATAAGGGATAACATTGATCATAACTGGCAGGTTGTTGTTCAAGGCAAGAGAAGAATTGTTGGTGTCGAAAATGTTGTCGATGAGGAAGAGTATGACCTATTTGATGATACAACGCCTCTATCTATTGGGGTTCAACCCCTAAGAGAGGGGGAAGACATTGTCGCTGATGAAGAGTATGCCCATGAGGAGGGAGAATATGTTGATACCTAGGCTTCATTTTTTATCAATCTGTAGTTCTTTTTAATTCTTCGATTAATTTGTAATTATAATGCTAGACAATAATGTTAGATGACTATAAAACCTCCAGTTTCACTTGGATTTTAGTCTTTTGAGCTTTGACAGATTAAATGGAATTTTACATAGTTCTTATATATGCGGCACAAGCTTGAATGTTTTTATTGGTATTATAACTTCAGGAATTGAAAAATAATGTCTCTGCAGGTTGCTTTTATTATTTATATTTGCTTGCTTTGTTACTTACTTGTAGATAGAAACCTTTTATAATCTGTAAAAAATATAGCTCTGTTCATGTCATATTTAATTCTATCAGTTTCTGTCTTTTGTTTTATGTAGGCACTTCTAGATCAAGGAGCATAAATATGGTCATTCAACAAAGTCAAGAGCAAACTTCCTCAAGCCAAGATGTTTCTTTGCAAGCCACATCATCTAAGAAGAGGAGTAGGGGGCCATCAAAGGCAATACAATCAAGTAAGCCTATGGTGCTTGAATTTAATGATTTTGACTTGCCTACTGGTGAATGGGAACCCGCTTATGGAAAACAAATTGGTGCATGTGCTAAGAGATTAGACATCACTGTGAATGAGTATGCAAAAATAGATAAAGTGGATCAGGAAAATATATGGGAGGAGACAAAGGTATAAACTATTCACTTACTAGTTAGTCATGTTGCTATTCAAAATATTAGTTAACTTTTTTTTTAATCCACAGCAAATGTTCCACATTGAGGATCCAAGTGGAGAAAGGCAAAAAAGGTTTCATAGTGTTGTGGCTTCGCGATTCAGCTGTCACAAGTCGAATTTAAGGGCACGATTCATCACTTTTAAAAACCCATACCCGACCATTTCTCCTAAAGCAAATATGAAGCCATGGGAAGTGTATGAAGGTTACTTTACAGAGGAGAAATGGAACAGATTCGAAATATATAGTAAATCAGCAAAATTCAAGGTAACTACATATTCACATGCACTGTCAATTAATCAAACAAAAACTGATTGTGAAGAATATGATAATGTTTAACTCTCTTTTCTTTTCTTTTTTTTAAAAAAAAAAAAACAGGAAAAGAGTGAAAAAGGGAAGGAAAATGCAAAGCTAAAAAAATGTCGCCATCACTTGGGTCGAAACAGTTTTCAAAGAGCTCGGATAATTTGGAATAAGCTAAAGAGACTTGAAAATAGATTTCCTGCTCTGGCAGAATCTTCAACTGCTGGTAACACTTCCCAGAGCAGTACATCAACTGGTTCTATTTTTTATCGTCGAGCTCTTGAGTGGGTTTTAGCTCATGAAAAGCGGTTGCCAGATGGAACATGGGGCATCGACCCAAAAGATACGGAGACTTTTCTAATTGCCAATATAGTTGTATGTCATATTTATCAAAACAAAGAAATCTACTGACATTACAGATTTCTGGTCATCTAATTAACTTTTTCTATGTTTTGTCAAACAGGAAGAGAACTTGCAAAAACAAGTAAAGGAATCTGAGGAAGGAGAGTGTAAACAATCAGAGCAAGGCGTTGATGCCCTTACTTTGGCATTTGGGAAAAAGGACCATCATGGATTTGTGAAAGGACTTGGTGGATGTGGGATTGGTGTCGGCTATAGAAAAGCATTTGGCCCGGTAAAAGGTAAAAACATGTCTAAAAGTGGTTGCTCATTACAAGAACTAGATGAATTTAAAGAGAACTTAACTCAGGAATTTGAAGAAAAATTAAAGGAAGGCATTGCAGCAGCTGTAAACTTATCTTTATGCTTTCATACCACACATGACTGTTAATGATTTGCAAGTAAATGATGCTCAACCTTCCCCATCTTCCTCAACCAATCCAACGGAGCTAAGTCCTCGCTTGTTAGAGGTAAACCTTCATTTGACTGAGATTGAACTCTTAATTATTATCACATGAGATGAATGCAGAATTGATAATCAAAATGAATTCAAAGTCTAAATTCATAACTGAATGCAGAATTGATAATCAAAACGGAATTCAAAGCCGAATTTCAGAACTGAATTCAGAGCTAAATATCATAATTGAATTCAGAGCCAACTTTCAAAACTAAATTCAGAACTGAAAATCAGACCTGAATTCAGAGCTGAAAATCAGACCTGAATTCAGAACTGAAAATCAGAATTGAATTCAGTACTGAAAATCAGAACGTAATTCAGAGCTGACTTTTAGAACTGAATTCAGAACTCAGTTAGGATGGATAGTTTGTTCAGCGTTGTTTAGTCTTCTTAATTTTAGGTTTGTGGATTGGTTGGTATTGCTTGTAGAATTTGCTGTTGGAGTGGTATTGTTTAGTCTTCTTAATTTTAGGTTTGTGGAGTTATATGCTGTGAATCCTGGTATAGACTCACCCCTCAACTCAAGCAATGAAACAGTGACACTCATTTTTGTCTTGTTGTTGTTGTCATATGGCTGCTATGTCCTGTATCGCTGATTTGTGTGCTGATTTGTGCCTTCGCATTTCAAAAACATGGTGTTTTTGTCTAGGGTTTTAGGAAAGGGGTTTTAAGGTGCAGCCCCTTTTAGAAGGCCATGATAGTTTATAGTGTACGTGACATTTAGTCTATTAAACGTAATTATAATCTGGAAGCCTTATTATGTCCCTTGACACACATATTTATTAAACATGTAGACATATAGTACTAATCGGTCTTATTGCTTATATAAAAATGCTTCTATTCTATGAAAAGGAAAATATCATTCATAAATTTTTATTAATCTTATTTTTTGACATCAGTACTTTAAAATATAAACACTGTATTCAGCACTTGAATATTAGTTGTTAACTGTAGATTAATGCTTTCATGTCTTACAACATGATCAATTATGTAGGTCCCAACTAAATGTCGTCTTGCTTTAGTTGATTGAGTTCAGTGGGAACTCAGTGATTGTGGCCCATGGAACAGCAGAACCTTATCCTAGTGGAGTGATTCATAATAAGAAAATGAACCATGACATCTATAGAGTTAGTGTTGACCATGTTTAAAGTGATTATTCTCACCTAAATCTCCCAGAAGAGACTGATGACGGTATCACCAAGTTGGGTGAGGCGAAAGGTTATTTTTTGGGGTGGCCGGCAGATTTAGTCTTCTTTACTGATGAGGTAATTCATTGATATTTTATGTAATGATCTAAGATATTTGTAACTAAATTATATTAATATTTATCTTTTCTTGAAGGTTATGACTTTGGAAAAAAAAGACGGATAATGTATTGGTGCAAACCAAAGAGAAAGTTGATAGTTGCGGACCTATCAACTCAGAGCATTCAACTATTAAAGGCAAAGGCATAACTATTCTAGAAAATATTGTAGACTGGTGAACAGTATTCTATGTTGTATTATTGCATGACTTCAGGAAGTGGAGATTATGATACTACGACAATTCCATTGAAGGCTCCATGTTTTATCAAAAGGAAGACACACAAATTTATGTTACTAGTGATGATGTCTCTGAATTACGAGGAGCATGGGCTAATATTTCATTAATCCATGTCTACATATTGTAAATACTAACATTCATTTAAGTTATTTGAATTTGTTTTACTATGAAATATATTTTATTAGATCCATATATTATACTAATTATTTATTTTTTCTGTAAAATGCAGGTACTTAATTGAAGAGCATATCTCATTATTTCAGAAGACTAAAATCAAATTCTTGTGCCCCCAAAAAATTTCTGCAGCTGAAATCAAGAAAGATTTCCTTGAAATCCAAATGTATTTGAAAAATGCTTTTCTTACTGAATTAAGGAAAAAGGATGCACAATGCAAATTCATTTTGGCTCCATATATGGAAGCGTATGTACTACTGATCCTTGAAATATTTACTTTTTCATAATTTTATTATTTTAATTATGTGAATAATACAAACAAGTTTATTAAAATGTAGGAATCATTTGGTACTCTATGTGATTGATTTGTGTATGAGTCTTGTGTATGAGTTTGATTATGTTATTCAATCACCTCCGAACGCTCGAAACTTAGAGTTGTCCAAAGTAATGAAGATGGTAGTACGCAACATTCCTTGTACTACGTATTCATATGCATGTGATTAAAATTTATTTTTCATTCGTTTAATCTAATGATTTTTATGATATTTTTTTTAGACCTTACAATGTATACAGGTCACACCTTAAAGGAAATGCTTTCAAAACGAGTAAGCCATAATTACTACACATAAGAATGGAGGTAAGCGTATAATTTTTGTTTTTTCATTCTATTAGTAATGAAAGTATTATTTAATATATTAAATAATTGTACTATGTTCATTTGAATTAGTGTGCTCAATAATGTGGTGGTACCGAATGTGCTTATTATGTGATGAGATATATGTATGAGATAGTATCTTTCCATAGCGATTGCAAGGTGATATGTCCATTTTATATAGTGTTTTACCCCCGTCCCTTAGTCGTTATCAGTAGTGTTTTTGGCTCTTTCGGGCCACTTTTATTACTAATTTGTGTGTTCTAGTGTTTTCGTAGTTTTAGTTGTATTTTAGGAAATTGCACTCTTGGAGCATTTTCCCGGGCTTTATGGATCAACTACGGAAGCTAGAAGGACGCGACCACTTTTGGAGCTCAGGATCGGTGAGAGCCGGTGATTAAGGGCTCGATAATTGGCATCCCGAGACATTTGGACCAAGTATTCGAGACCCGAGAGGAAATCCGGATTGGGCCGAGAAATCTAGCCCAATCGAAGTCCAAGCCTCAAGGAGAGCAAAGACTCGATCGGGTAACCTCTAGCCCGATCAGGCACGGCAAACCATAGTGCTGTGCATGCTAAGGCGCGCCCGATCGTGCGAGCATCTAGCACGATCGGGCGATGCTGCTTGGGAAGAACGCGAAGAAAAAGGCGCGCCTAATCGGGCGGCCCTTCGCCGATCGGCGATGCGCGGGAAAACGCGAAGAAAAAGGCGCGCCTAATCGGCGCCCTTCGCCCGATCGGGTGCGCCTATTTTAACCGTCCCTTTAACCTTTTCCTCTTCTTTCTTTCCTCACTTTCTTCTTATTTCATCTTCTTCTACATTACTTTCTCTCTCTAAAACCTCCATTTTTACACCTTCAAACTCACTTCTTTTGCAAGATCTCCTCAAATTCATCCATCAAAACCTTAAAATTCTTACATATTATTAATCCTCACATCTTCCTCTACATTTCTCATCTATTTTCTCCCACTTTCTCTCATACTTCCTTCAAACCCCTAGAGAGAGAAAGCTTCAAGCATCAAATTTTTCCACATATAATGGCCTCAAAACGTTCAAGGACACAAAGGGGTGAGAGTTCGAGGGCACCACAACCAACGGTCAACCCGGATCTTCAAATTCCGGGATGGGAGGAGGTTGTCATTACCTCGGAGGAGCAACGGGCTAGGATGCTAAACCTTATCGATCGCCAGGTAATCTCTACCCGTTTTATTCATTATCCCACACTAGTTAGGGTAGGCTTAGATAAATATTTGGAAAAAATTGTTCAAAGGTATAGGCATGAGTGGTTTCTTTCAAATGTGCCATGATACTTATGACTATTTAACATTAGAATATATTTCAAGTTTTAATGTTATTCAAATGAATGCACTAATTACTCATGTAAAATTCCGATTATTAAACAACGATGTGAGACTAACTCTTAAAGAATTTGGAAAGTTGTTTGATTTGAAATCGGATAAACCGATTGAACCCTCTCAAGACCACACCGTCGTGGTCTATACGAGGCTAATTAGGGAGGATCTAGTTAACCTCCAGCATGCCAAAGGGATGTGGATTCAACATCCCGTCCCAAAACTTTGGCAAAGATTTGCCGGCCTCACTATATTTGGGAGGCATGAACCGGCAAATGTTAGGAGAGATGAATTGGAACTTTTGGCATCCTATATAATTCCTACCGCCGAAAAATTGAACATAACCCATAGGATAGCCAATCACTTCCAAAGGGCGGCCAATGCGGCCGAGGCTAGTAGGTCTAGGGCGCCTATTTATTTTGGGGGGTTAGTGACCCACATTGCTAGAAAACACCTAGGTTGGAACCCGGATGGGCATAGGAAAGTTGTAGGATCAAACCTCATGGACCTAGCCTATTTAGGGAGTTTGAACTGGGTGCAACCCGTGGGGAGTGATACTTGGTGGATAGTCCACCGACAATCAGGTATGAGGGATCAAGCCTTTACCTTACCCAACCCCGCCTTGACCAAATTTGAGAAGGGGAAGCCTTCTTATACTTTCGAGATTAATGGTCAAGGTGAGGTTCAACCACCTCACCCTTCACCACAACCCCACCAATCCCCCCTAGACCATTCCCCCACTCACCATTCACCACATTACCAACCACCTCCACCCTTTACCTATGGCATGCCCACTTCCTCGGTCGACTACAACGTCGACCCCAATGCCCCTTATGACCTTTTGGCTTTTAGGAGCCAATTAGACCGTATCGAGACGGGGCAAGAGAGAGTTGAGGGTACGATGCAAAACCTAGATTCTAGGTTAAGCACCTTAGATGGGAGGGTTGGTTACATAGAGAGGAACCTCGGGAGGGGTCTATACCCCATGTATGATGATTATGCCCGTCGGGGGGCTATTCCTCCCGATTCACTTACTCCCGATTGGTTCCAATACCCCCAAGGAGGGTATTCTCACCCCGGTGCGTATGGTACTTATGTGGACTACTCTTCAGTCCACGGATATGGGGGTGATGCTCTTTTTGGGGGTATGGGTGGGAATGTGGACCCTAACTACTTTACTGGTGGTTCGGGTCATGGTGGTGCTGGACCAAGCCAGGGTGGTGCCGTTTCGAGTCATGGAGGAGGATATGAGAGGATAGATGATGATGAGGACTAGCTATGCTGGGCTAGTTTCCAAGCCAATGAGGACATTGTCTGATTCTAGCTTGGGGGAGATTTTGGTTTAGTATATTTATTTTTCTCTTATTTCTTTTTCTCTTTTCTTTTATTTTTGGTTAGATTTCTTGCTTTCTAGGTTAGTTTTATTGCTTTCTTATATATATAAAAATACAAAAAAAAATTGAAATAAAAAAAAAATCCAAAAATACGTTCCAATGAATTATAAATTATGCTTCCCTGTGCCCCTTACTTGAGAAAATTGTTTTGAATCTTGGTTATTGATGATAGGCATTGTGGATTAGTTGATCATGATTTGATGTTTGATTGCCTTGAAACCTTTACATGCGTCAATTTTATCCAACTACTTGTGAATATAGTGCTTGACTAGTTGATTTGGTAAGGAATGTGTGATAGTTCCATAATTCCTGGTATGTCAATGAATTTGAGTATTGATTTGCAACTATGAGTAGTGTTTCATGACTTATTATTATGCACATGAGGAGGACGAAGGCGTTCATTCTTGTAGGTGGCCTTCAGAGTATTAGATACATTTGTTCCCTTCTTGTTACCCATGTTGTTGCTTGTGCCCTTTTATTGTTTATATAGCCACATTACAAGCCTATATGAGCCCCATTGGTTACTAGTCCCAAGCTTGGCTTGGGGGAGCTATTAGTTGGTGAGGTGAGGGAGTTGTGGTGTGCATATTATTTGCACAATGTGGGAATAAAAGAAGAGTTATTGTTCTTTGATTTTTGATTGAAAAATATTGATATTGTGTTTCAAAGTTGAATTTTCCAATATGAGATAAAAAGAAAAAAAAAAGAGCAAAAGAAAAAGTTTTATTAATGCTCAAATGTTCTATTTGAAGTTGTTCAAAGAAAAGGAAAAAAATTCAAGTTGAAAAAGAAAAAAAAAAAAAAAAGAATGAGTTCATAGTTTATTTTTCACTCAAGTTCTACATTATCATACTTTTATGAGTGATTATTGTGAGTGTTGGGATTGTTTATGATGATTAGAGTTGTATTTGGTGGTTTTTGTTGGAGTTGGTTATGTTGATGGAGATATATGATCATCGTTATTTTGATCATGGTTTTATTAGGTTTTGGCTTCCTTAATGCATAGCTTTTCTCTCACATAATCCCAAATTTATCCTACCTTCACCTTAGCCTTACATTACAAGCTTTAAAGACCTTCCGATCTTGTGCATAGAATTTATGTAAATGTGAAAGTGTTGTTTGTCATGCAAGTTATGACTTGGCATATTTCGAGTCGACTAGTAGGATGAGCGTTCAATGTTTTTATACACACGAGAGTGTGAGTTGGGAGGGCATTGTTCACATTAAAGGGGTTAGTTGGAGAGCGATCGAGTACATCTTTTACTCGCCACATAAATGAGAGTTGAGTGTGTGAGCACTAGTCTTGAATTCTATATGCTCTTGTGGTTTTCTCTACTTGACAATTGTTGGGGAGGAAGGGTGATTAGATGAATAAGATTGATTGATGTTGAAGCATGTTCATTAGATTTGCCTTGAATCGTTGGTTTTTGATTTGATGATTGGGGGTGAAGTATGTTTTATATGTTCATTGATGAGCTCTTTGCTTAGGGACAAGTAAAGGTTTGGCTTGGGGGAGTTTGATATGTCCATTTTATATAGTGTTTTACCCCCGTCCCTTGGTCGTTATCAGTAGTCAGTAGTGTTTTTGGCTCTTTCGGGCCACTTTTATTATAATTTGTGTGTTCTAGTGTTTTCGTAGTTTTAGTTGTATTTTACAGGAAATTGCACTCTTGGAGCATTTTCCCGGGCTTTATGGATCAACTACGGAAGCTAGAAGGACTCGACCACTTTTGGAGCCCAGGATCGGTGAGAGCCGGTGATTAAGGGCTCGGTAATTGGGATCTCGAGGCATTTGGACCAAGTATTCGAGACCCGAGAGGATATCCGGATTGGGCCGAGAAATCTAGCCCAATCGAAGTCCAAGCCTCAAGGGGAGCAAAGACCCGATCGAGCAACCTCTAGCCCGATCGGGCGCGACAAACCATAGTG